GTGTACATAAAGACGGACAAACAGACGGACATGGATAAATCGACTCAGCTCGTCGCGCTGATCATTTATATGTAATATTAATTTTATGTTATATACATTGTATAGGGTCTCCGACGTCTCCTTCTGGATGACCCTGTTCAGGGTATAATAATAACCTTTACGGTCCGCAGATAATTCATTAGTATCATTCACGGCCAGAAGCATTCAAAATTACTTAAGGTTCATTAATTTCGCGTAGTAAATAAAGTTCTCGAAGTGACGATAAAGCAATAAATAGAGGAAGAATTGTTAGTACGATTGTCCAAGTTATTTTAATTAGCCAACGAGTGTTGTAATTATCACTTAAATTATCAGGCAAGATCATGCAGAAAAGTAAATTGAAATATAAAAGGGGAGGCACTATCTAGAAGGCTTTTTCGAATAGTGTAAGCTTGTACTGAAACTTCCTTAAATACTTGACATCGTTCAGTAATTATTCCGGCATAGATTTTTGTTTTAATACTACGCTTTAAGTGCCTTAAATAGATGTGGTCGCATTTGTTAACCCATGTGTTTTTGCAAATCAGAAGAAATTCGGTTTTGCATGCTGAAATATATTTGTTTGTCTGATGTCTTGAGGTGTTTTCAGCTAAATTTGTTTTTAGTTGCTGCCGTGAATTGAATTGAGCTTCTTTATTGAGTTTGTGAAGTGTCAGTACCCACTCACGAACAGCTACGTTGGACATATTCACACATACCTGAATGGTAATCGAATTTCGCTTCAGTAGCTATATACATGCTCACATACATGCACATATGCACATCTAGTTGAGACTGCAACACTGCGGAAGCAGTCAATTTCAATTGTGGTAGCTAAACAAGCATGAACCTGTACAGAAACAATAACAATAACAACTAAATGTATGTTACTAGATAGCAACGTGCTTAAGTCGCTTAGTAGACAGCAACCGGATGTAAACAACGTCAACCGGGGTGAAACCCGCTGTCGCTGGCAAGCTGTTGAGCAGGAAGCACTGGCAAAACAAAGGCAAAAAATACCGTAAACACAAAAAATACAAAAACATAGCGTCTGCGAAGCCGATGGTTGACTTCTGCTCTTTTTATTGAGTGGCTGAGTTGGTAAATTACATTATCAATTTTAAAGCTCAGATTTGAGCGTTTGTATATGTGAGTAGTCGTTGCGAACGGCAAGGAGAAGCGCACAAGAAACTGACATTTATTTGTATGTTTGCTGGCAAGAACGTTGTAGACGCATAGCCTTGAGGATTACCACACCGTCACACCTTAGAACACCTTTAGCGCCATCATCATCAATGTTATTATTATTGTTTCTTAATGCGTCGAGAAAACTTTGTCTGCCAAGTTGGCGGAGCTGCCGCTGGCTATTGAGCCACGCAACTCTTCTACGGGTGTGCGCAAGCCAGAAGGCTTAGAGAACTCCCCCTCGCATATTCTCATACCCTACACACACACACACACATGCATGCATGAATAAAATACCAATGTATTAGTTTTGTTATTTTTGCCCATGTTTTTGCTGAAATGGTTTGTGCACTTTTCTGAATAAATTTTCTCTGCACTTATATTCATTCGAATACATATGTATATGTCTACTCTACAAGGAAATTTTAGTGGTCAAAGCGTATTTTGTATGCAAATATTGGTTTTTGTGATCGTTTGATTTATTTAAAATTTAAAAATTTAAATGCCTTAGGTTATGTCAGGCTTTGTACTTCAGATATAAGCAAAGAGGCGCGGTCCTTGAATTTTAAGGTTTAGTAAGCGTAAGGAGTTTACGAAGGGCAATAAGGAGAGGAGCGATAGACAAAGATGATAAATGTCTACAAAAAAATAAAATTAAAGGAGAACAAAGTAAGTTTCAAGGTTTTACGAAGGTTTCCACATATTCCTTAGCCGAGTCGTAATCTTTATTTTTTTCGTCTTAAATATAAAGAATGCACAATCTCCACCCAAATAATAAATATCGCTGTGAACTAATTTTTTTTATTAATAAGCGGTTCATGTATCACATTTCAGTAATAAGTGGATAAAACCTATTATTATATTATTAGTTATTAATACATTTAACTTTCCCTTATCTTATCCTTAACTGTTACGGTCTTAATGAGCTTGTGGTGTTTTGTTATTTTGTTAATCCATTGAAGAATAATATTCAGCGTTTAATACAAATTCCAAAAGACACATGCTGGTTCCAATGTAAGAAAATCTTTTACCTTGACTCAATCAAATCGCTAAATTGGCCCAAAGGCATTTTAGCATAACACGGCATGGCGTTGCCTCGTAGTCCTCTTCAGAAGTAAAAGCGTTCGTAAACCCTTTTGAGAGGCAGCACCCCTTACTTTTGAACATTTATCATTTGGCACTGTGCAGCCGTGGTTCTGTAGCCAACAACAATGCCGAGTTTTGCAACAATGTTCTGTAATAACTTGTTGCATGCACAATGGCAAATTGCTGGTGTTGAATGTTGCAAGTTTGTAAGCGCTTAAGTTCCGAAATGTGTAGCGTTCATTTGCATTGTTGCAAACTTGTAAGACGTTCCGGGAAAATGTCGACTCCTTTGTTGTTTCGACATAGCATACATCGTGGCATAATAAAGTGTTGCATTTTAATGCTCATTTGCGTCAGAAGCTTTCGAGTAAAGCGAACAATTATTATTGTGGCCGGTGGCGTGCCAAGACGTATATGAAATATACATATTTCCCAATTCTCGTAAGAACTTTGTGGGTAAAAGATTTTTTTAAAGCGAAAATTGTGTAACATATTAGAACTATGCTGGGAGAGAGGGTGCACTAACGTGGAGGAAGTCGAGATTTATATAATAAAACTTTAAATACAAAAATTAAAATAATTTACTCCACAATACACATTTTGAGTGTACCTTTCTTGTAAGTGTCTTTCCATGGGCCACTCTTTGCTTTAGTTTGCGTGCTTAGAGTGTTACGAGAATTGATGGGTCCATGTTGAACGCGCTAGAGGCAAATAAATCGGTGATTCGGTGACTCTGCCAAGTTACTGTATGTGGAGTTACCTCAAGTCAATGGTTTATGCCGATAAGAAACTAACATTTGGCGGGTTATTGGTCAGATATGTATATACATTTGGTGATCTGAAATAGTTAAAATGTTTCTATAAAAACAGCTAATGAAAATTTCATTCGCAATTAGTTAGCCCTGTTCTGCACTAAACTCTTTTAAAAAGACGTGGTCAATTTTAACTAAAGTAAAATTGTGTTGAAATGATTTTTTATCGTTAAGGATATTAAGTTAATACAAGTACATACTACAGAAATGCAAAAGAACGTAAATCGAAAGAGAGGAGTAATGTACGAATTTACTTCAGAAATATCTTAAAAGCAATTCTTTATATTTTACTGCTGTGGCATTTTAAGATTTTCGAAATTTCAGATTTAATGCTTCTTATTGAGTTTGTAGTAAACATATACCCTTTATAGATAGTTAGTCCGACTCAAACGATTTCAAATGCCCTCGAAACCATACTCATGTCTGCATGTGCACTTTCCTCTTGTCTTTACTCGATACTGTTATGCTACGCATAAAGAAAGCACTTGCTCTTTTCCACTGCATCTTCGATTTGTTTCGGAAAAACTCTTGAATGAATATAATCAAATTCACGCACGAATTTAAGCAGGTGTGCGTATATACATACATACATACATAAATAGAAGTATATTTATTTAAAAATTAACACACTTCTATCATTAAGTACCAGCCTAACCATAATAAAGAGATCACTAACTGGAGCAACGCCCGATGGGCATATTTCAAAAACAATTTTGGTTTTCAGTTGCTAATTGGAAATTCAATATTTGCTCGGTGACCAGCGATTTGTAGTTAAATTCCATGAACTTTCGTGACTTTTTCGCCCACTCAATTGAAAATCAAGATTTTGTGAGAATATAAGTGCATCGGTCGGCTCGTCGAGGGCTCATTTCTTTAGTACTTGGCAGTGAGCGATATTCGTCTAATCAGCAACAATCTAACGGTTCGGTGGTCTTTAGCTTCGATTGGTTCGTTCATGGGTGCACAGAATGAAGCTGATAGAAATTCTTTTGACGTGCTTCCTGCTTCGCTTGTATTGTATAAGTGCAAACTTGCATAGCGTAACTGTCGGGGCGAATTTGACTGATTTCATGCACGTCCGCAAGAAGAGGACCTTGATATTCGACGGCAGCGGTTCAGTTAAGGTGAACGGTGTACACAAAACAACAAAAACACGTTTTGAAACATAAAAGAAGTAAAAACAAAGTACAGGGTTGCAAAGTGTTATACATAATAATTTCGGCGAGAATGACCCTACCGTAGATTCGTCATTGCTTATGTGGATGCTCAAAATCATGTGAAAATTTTCAGGAATATATAGTTTATATATAGGCATATTTTTGAAGTGAATACTTCTTTGGCCGCATCAGAGTGATTTTTCAAGGTCTCTTCCCGACCCTTCGTGTGTGCCCGTTAGCCGTATCCATAAACATATTGTAGCAATGTATGTGGTATTGTTTTGCGCTCACTCTCCGCCATACATACATTTTGATACGTATGCTTGGTCGATTCATTTCGCAGGCTTCTAGGTGCACATTGGCACATACATATACATACATCACTTCGGAGTCGATCGGGTCTCAAACGCTGAACACATGGACGACGACAAGCGATAGGCAGCATCTGTCAAATATTAACATACACACGTTCTTATGCTCGCAGTTATTTAGACAACAGCATGACTGCACGGCAGCATGCTTGCAGTTGTCGCTGTCGCTAATTAAAACCATTTCGAATTTTGCCGACAACAATGGACAGGTGTAGTGCTGCCACTAATATGTGAAATGTAAAATTATTAACAAAATATTTAAATTTCAATGAAGTGAAAGGTTTTAATACCGCAACAACGTTATAGTGTACATCAGCTGTTTGCAATGTTGCCATTGCTCAATTTATTTAGATGGTTTTTTTGCACATATTTAGCTTTTCAGTTATAATTTTTTGATGTAAAAGATCAAGACTAAAATCCAACTATTAAAAATAGTCTACCTATTTCTAAATAATTGTATTCGACTGTGATGTTGAGTTAGTTTAAGAATGCTTGATTTTTTTCGCCAAAGGAAAGGATTGTCAATAAACACCCTTAATTGCTAAAGTTTTTGAGTTCATTCTCAGGATTTCACCGATGCAGAGATACGAAAATTAAAGTTGTACGGTTAACCGAAACTTGGTTAGACAATGATGAGAACGTTAGCATATCAAACTTCACTTATGTTGTCAAATATAAACTACTGCACATTTGAGCAGGAGGTGTTACGATCTGTTATAATAAAGGCAATACATTTAACACTGACTCTCTACATTTTCATATGTGTGCAATAAATTCCACTGTACATACAGCAGTTTGACTGAAATTGGCGATATGTAAAATATCAAATGAAAAGGAACTTGCCATCGCAGCGATCACATATCTCCTAACCAAAAAAAAAATTTAGAATTTCATTAATTTCGTACAGAGTAATGTACACTCATGGCGGATGCGTCCTTGCCACCACGACTAGATAAGGAACAACGATTGATGCTCTATTTCCCAGAAATTTACACTATTTAAAATCACGAACATATGTTTCATACTTGAGTTACCAGAAAGCCATAATATCAGCTATACCGGTATTTTTGAATCGGTAAAGAAGTATTCACCTCTATCACGTGTGCTGTGCTGCACGCGACTTGGCGAATGTACGTGAAAAAAATGCTCAACTGGAATAGAATGGAAATTATACGTACATACTTATATATTTAACAGTACTGACATTTCAGAAGCTCACGATTTCTCATTTTGTTTATTGTCGATGTTATTGAATTTGGGTGATTTTAGCGAGTATTCTTTTACCGCTAAAAAGCTATTGTTTTATTATTTAAACGACACGAAAACGAAACTCCGTGAATTGTATAATGTGCTGAATTTCCCGAGTCTGCTTATTTTATTTTATGCTCACTGACATTATTATTTTCTCAACAGATATCCATCGGTCCATCGGGACAAGTTGACTTAGCCGACCCGATCACATGGCGATCGCTTGTTTGCTCGTACAGTCTTCAAGGCGGCCAATATTCAATTCCAACTTCTCCACTTTATCCCTGGGACAAATGGGAGGATACTTTCGCACGCAAATCCAGGCTTTTACATAACAGCCAACCTGATCTTGCCTCCTATAGTTATGTAACTGATGAATCACGACTGTTCTTTTACACTTTACTGGAGGCATTAATGAGCCAGCGGGGAGTTAATGGTCGGTCGTGCTTGCTGCGCTCCATATGTCAAAATGCACAAGTGGACCAACATGTGGGGTTGTTGTCAGAAATCCTGGATACAGTGCTCACGTATGTACTTTGAATACTCGTAAAAGAGTGGTCTCATTCGAATATATTCATTGATACATTTTTGTAGACCCGGCGTGGAAGACCTGGATAAGAGTTATCAGAGAGCGCGAGAGGCCGGTGTCGCTGGGGCAGATTGCTTCAAATTATTTGCCGATTGTCCGGAAGGTCACAATTGGTTGGATACCTATTTGGATTACATTTAGTATGCAGACTATAAAAACATTGACGAAGTACCTTAAGCCGATGCATCGGGAGGCTGATTATTTATTATTACTTGTACAAAAGAGGAAATATTTGGAACCTTTAAGACTTAGAGTTTAAAAACTTGGATTTGTTATGGTAGATATGTTGCTTTTGCTGCTAGCAATTCAAAATAAAATTTAATAGAAACAAGTAAGGATGGGCTAAATTTGGGTGTAACCGAACATTTTATACTCTTGCAACTTGCAAGAATGAAAGCCGGGGACCAACTTACGGGTCTTGGTAAAACTTTATATTAACGCCAATGGGGGCAAAGCGAAGTATTGATACGATTCTACTCATATTTGAATAGGGCATATTATTATCATATTATAGGGTCAACATATTTGGTGTATAGGGTCTTCAAAATAATTGTAGTCGATTTTATTAGTTTTTGGTCATTAGGTGGCACATCTTAAAGCCACTATTCGTGCAAAGTTTTATCTCGATGCATTCATTGGTGCTTTGTTTGCATACTGGAAAGTGAAAGAGTCTTATGGAATTTAAAATTTTGTTATATGGAAAGTAGGCGTGGTTGTTATCCGATCTCACGCACTGTGTCATAAAAATGTCAAAATAATGTTATGTACTAAATTTGGTTGAAATTGGTCGAGTAGGTCCGGAGATATGGGTTTTCACCTAAATGTAGTGTGTTAAGTAGTTTTGTAGCTTTAGTGGTTTAGGAGATATGTGCATTAAACCTCTTAGAGGTCGGTGTCACGCCCCTATTTTCAAAATTACAGCTTTGTATCTTAACTTAGTGCTTAGTTATGGCGCTTTATATGTTTTCGTTTAATTGTATTTTGTGGGAGCGGCAGTAGTCCGATTATGTAAATCTACGAACTCGTTCTCACTTTTCTGCTAAGGAAAATTACGATGTACTAATTTTTAATCAAAATACAGCTTGCACGGCTTGAACAGTCACTCGGAATCCAACTCGTCGCGTTATTCTGATCATTTATGTATATATAACCTTTATCTATCTCGATTAGTTTTAGGGGATACAAATACACTCTGTAGCAACATGTTGCGGGAGTTTAAAAATATGCAAAAAATATTAGTAGTTAGAATAGAGGACTAGTGAGAATCTCTAAAATTAGTGTTGGATCAGGGTTTGTAAGTAGCGATTCAATGATCGATTTTGGTATGTGAAATTGACACAAAATAGAAAAATATTATTTAGCTAAAACCCAAAGTCCATTTGAAAACAATAAAATTTACCAAAATTTCGAAGGATGTTGACTTTATTTTTGCAATTCCCAAATGTTTTCTTTCGGTTATTTCTTATTACTAGTTTTTTAGTAGCTCGCTGTGTTGTTTGTGCGGTGTCATTCACTTGCGTTTGGCAGCTGCTCCAACTGCATGCAAACGCTTTCAGAGTTTTCTTGCGATTTTTGCGATTTCATGTGTGAATAGATATATTGTACACATGTGCTATATTCATATATATCTATTGCAAGCGCATGTATGTATGTGGGCACTCACGTACCGAATACGTAGGCCGTTGCATGCCGCAAATTTGTTGTGCAACATGCCACATCCACCGCCAAACCAAGCGCACACTCACACAACCATACCACATGCGCTTCCACCCTCCGAGCTAGAATTCAGATCGGGGCATCTTTTGTTGTGCAAATAATCGCTGTATGTTGTGTGTCGCGTGACATTTACCCCTTTTTGCTTTCCTGCTGCTGCCTTTTGTTGCTTAGTTGCATATTTCTTCGCAGCACGTTCTGCACGGTGCGCCGTGGTGCGCGACTTTTTCCCAGAGTTCTTAGGTGTGCATACATACTTGCATTTGTTTGCGAATTCTTTTGTTGAATGTCTGGAATATTTGCATTTCGGTTAATATTTTACGTGCAAAGCTTTAGGGAAATTTTATCAACTGCACTGTCACAAACTGATTTGTTGCCGATTTTGAACTTGTAGCCGCAAGCCGTGCCATACATATTTCATCTTATAAAGTTAAATAAATGCATAACATTCAGATTATTTGAAATGTTCATAATTGTCGTTTTCAAATCGTAATGCAATGTCTTCATCTAAAAGCCAGGATAACGAACCGAACTTCCAATTAGTCGTTAGAGGACTATATGATCTTCGTGCTGTCGCTTTCAATTGTACTTTAACATTAGTAACTACTATCGCGTAATATTCTGTAAGCTCCTCTTGGCAACGTTGTTTATTATTTGTAAGCAGAAGCTTCGGAGTATTAAAAAGATCAAATGCCTTACTCTTTACTTAAATACAGTTCTTTTAACATTCCGAATCTGAAATCTCTTAAAAGCAGAAGTAATTGTCCTTCCTTATTATTTGAGCTTGTCATGATTGCTAATTACACCGATACGCTTTGCTATAAAATTACCATTCTATGTTAAAATTTCAATAAATGAAAATTATGCAAAGAATTCAAAATTGGCTCTATTATTATAAGATCTCAGAGATTTCGAGATCTATTTGGTTAAATGGAAAATGTATTATTTTTTATTTTTAAGTAATTTCTTCTAGCAGTTAGACGAGTATCTACATTTAGCTAACCATTTTTAGTCATAAAATTTTTCCATATTCTGATTCACTGATAATCGCGACATTTAAACGGTGAGAGAGCAACACACTTTTATTCAATTCATTCTTTTTTTTTTTAATTTTTAAGCCCACGACGGTCGAGACGCTTAACTCGGAACCCGGACGGTCCAAACCGGGACGAATGAATAGCTAAATCTAGATATTCTTAGTCTGCTAATTAAAGAAATAATGAGGGAAATAAATAAATTAATTTTTGGGAATGTGCAGGCTACGGAAATAATCAAGAATCGAAATATTAAACGTTTCATAAGCGAAAATTATCTGTAATTTGTAGTCTAATCGTTCAAAGGTGCAAAAGTTTTTATAATATTCTAATGATAAGAATACATTTTTGCTCTGAATTTCTAAGGAATTTCTAAGTGACAAACTGAGATCCGTTTATGTGTCCATGTGAATGAGTATAGTTTTATTGACGTAGAAAAATCTTCGTACATTTCGTTACTATTTAGCAGAAATAACTGCACTTGTGGTTTGAGACTTGACTTTCTATTACTTTCACTTCAGCAAACACTTCAGAATGTTGTCACAACTGTCAATTTCTGCAAACTCATTAAAATCAAAACGCATAAATAAATCGACAACACAGCACAAACAACGACACTTAAACCCATACTCATACACACATACATAAATCTTTGTACTCACAAACAACGACACTTAAACCCATACTCATACACACATACATAAATCTTTGTACTCACAAACAAATGATGTTCTTACAGATGAGTGTACATAGGACGCACACACTCGACATGTTAAAGCTGATACTTGAGGTTCACAAGCGCATACGAACGCGTTTACATACGAGAGTAGAAGCACACAAGCACTTCACCACACTTACATACCTATTTTATATATTGACTAAAGAAGTGTACTGCTTTGGATGATCCTTTGTGCGTGCCTACGAGTCCACACACACACACCCAAACATGAGTATACTTATGTAAGCACCTAAGGTAAAGACAACCTTGTTTTTGTTATTATTATTATTCTTTTTTTTAATATTCAGACAAACACACGCGCCGCCAAATGATAATTTATAAACTTGAATGGAGATATCGCCAACGTTCATTAAAGGTAGAAAGTGTGTACACACATATACATATGCCTTTATTTACATATATACGTGTACATATGTCGTAGAAGCGCTTTATGAAGCACCGCAGTAAAATAGGTTGGAATCCCTAATACAGGAGAATAAAAAGTCCTTAACTTAATATCCCGCTCCTGAAGGGGAAAAATGCAGTATTCACAAATTCAAAAGCGTAATTTAACTCACAAACATATTTCTTTATTAAATTGCAAATTTCCAAATTTCTGAGTAATTTCCCCATTAAAACATCATAAAGCATATAATTTTCCAATAAGAATGGCCCCTCAGCCATAAGAAAGAGTTTCCAGGATTAAAGAACCAACAAAAAATATTGATTCAGTCCTTGCCAATTGAAAAAAGGAAAAACCCCGTACATATTTGCCATGTTATTAATATTATTGCTATTGTTGTAGCTAAAGAATTTGGTAAGCATACGGACATAACCGGAAGAATATTATTATATATACTCGTGTTTACGGTTTTTACACTTCATTGCACTCGCTTCAGGCCCGAAGGTATGCGCTGCACTTCTGCTCAAGAGCATCGTGATAACATACCAGCGAACACATACACACCCCACTGCTACGCCAGTAAGACTTCGTGCAATTGTGCGAGCGCTACGCCGGCTGAGGGAGAATTCAAACAATGTCAAAAGGTCATGAAACCCTGTTCCGCAGAAAACGCCGCTTGACATTTCTTTAAGCGCCCGAGAATTGAAGCGTTTTACATTACGCCAGCGCGGTAGACCAGCGGGTGGCATAATTACCATGAAACACTCACATATCAACTCTAACAGTTCTGTTGTTTTGAGCACGATTTAATTCGAATTTTTACTGCATTTTTAGGCTTAATATTTGTTCCGTTTTTAGTCTAAATCTCACGCTGCGCAAATCGGGTTTGGTGAATACTGCGATAATGTGTGTCGCTAAGTGGTTGTAAAAAAAAACTATGTTCCAGTTACGTATATCTACATATCTTGAGAACTGTTTTCCATACATTTTGGTTTGTTTAAACCTAATTTAAATGGACACGACTGAATCGGATTAGACGAAAAAATGTATGTACTTCATCTTTGGAGTCACATTTCTTACAAAATTACGAGTATGTTAAGAACAAGAAAAAACGTTAACTTCGACTGCGCCAATACTGCAATATCATTCACAGGTGCAAAATAAACCTGAAATGAAAAAATAAAAGAGTTTTCCATGCAAGGGCTTGATTTTGATCGATCTGTTTGCATGGTAGCTAGAAATAGTTCGCGTATATACAGACAGATAGACGGACTTTGCTAAACCTACTCAGCTCGTCATAATTAGCAGGAGTGCATATAATCCCTAATATTCATTATAAATTCAATGATTGAAATACGCGTTGAAAAAATATTTTAACTGAATACGATGTTATTATTATTACATGAGAGATCAACTTGAATATTCCACAAGCCTCAATCGCTTTATGTAGAGCCTTAAGCAATTCCA